CTATATTACCAAGTCACTGTTCTCAAAAGTGCCTTGTACTGGCACAAAAACAGACATATAGACAATGGAACAAAACAGAGAACCCATAAATTGATGCAAGCACACTATGCTCAACTAATATTTGACAAAGGAGGCAAAAACATACAATAGAGTCTGTCATGTAAGACTCCCTCCACGTCCAGCGTGGAGTAGGGTTCGGTATCTGAAAGAGGAGCTGCACAGCAAATGAGAGAAAAATGACACAAGATAATTTTGCAATATTGGGGGACCAGGCAGGAAAGTCCCAAAGGACTTCCACCTAAGCTCAGGCCACTCCAATCTTTTATTGAGGTTGGGTTAGCCTTAAGGTAAGGAGGTTTCAATGACACACAGATTAGGTCATAACATGACCCTTAGGCAATGTACATGATTAAAGGTAGGGAAGTTGCTTCAGCTATTTATATGATTAAAGGTAGGGAGGTTGCTTCAGCTACCATTATCTAGAGTAACTGGGTGGTATCTAGATTAACTGGGTGGTACACAGCCCTGACCTTTGCTAGGGCTTCAAGGTTACTAACATTTGGGGTCTCTGTCTAAACTCAGCTAATGAAGAAAGTAAATGGTTTCCAGCAGAGTCAAGACAGTCTCTTCAATAAATAGTGTTGGGAAAATTGGACAGATACATACAAAAAAAAATGAAACTAGACCACCAACTTATCCCATACAAAAAAATAAACTCAAAATGGATAAAGGATTTAAATATAAGATGGGAAATCATAAAAATTTTAGAAGAATCCATAGGCAGCAACATATCAAACATATGTCATAGCAACATCTTTACTGATACAGCTCCTAGGACAATGGAAGCTAAGAAGAGGATAAACAAGTGGGACTACATCAAAACAAAACTTCTGCACTGAAAAAGTACTATAATAAAAACAGCAAGAGAGTCTACTGCATGGGAGAATATATTTGCCAATTTTATATCTGATAAGGGTTTAATCTCCAACATTTATAGAAACTCATACAACTTAACAAAAGGAAGATATACAATACATCCAAAAAAAGGGCAAAGGACCTAAATAGACACTTTTTGAAAGTGGACATACAGAAGACTAAGAGACATATGAAATAATCAG